GGCTTTGAAAATTTTACTTGTCTTAAGAGGGAGGCAACGAAAAAATATTATAACTGTAGAGTTTCTCCTCAGTCTCCCCCTGTACAATAAATAATGAGCAGTCCCTTAAACTCAGAAAACTGCCTTTGCAGCAAGTATGTTTTCTGCCATGAGTCTTCTATATGTCTTAGGTATGCTTGCAAAGCCAAATTTCAAAGTTTATGAGTCTAAATAAGCAATAACCCATCATCCCTTGCGCGCTCAGAGTTTACGGTTTAAGTTTTTGGAAGGACAATTTTGGTTGAATTAGCTGTATACCAGATTTCATTTTGTGTACATAAAGCTTAATAGTTAACCATTCCGAAAGAAGAACTGTCAGTGACACATTATATAGTGACTACGTGGCAAGGAGAACAATGGATTTTCAGTTACAACAATTAAAAGACAAATAATGGATTGTAGATATAGATTATAGAAATAGAGGGCCATTTGGTAGAATACCTTCTCAGGTAAAACTGAATGTATATTTACCCTCATCAAAATAAAGTTTATTATTATTATTGTTCCCAAAACTGCCCGTATGCATCTGTTATGGGAAAGGGTTCACCTAAAAATTCGCCCAGATACAATAAATTCGTTTTGGACAGAAGAATAACAGCGAAAATGTTATTTAATTAAGTTATCTAGACTTTTTGTTTTGTCATTTTGCAGTTGCGCAAACAAGGCACAAGATGGTGGCTACCGTTTCTTTGGCGTGCAAAACTTTAGGGAATGTTGGGCAGGAGAACTAAAACCAGAATTTTTCAAACGACCTTCTGTCAAGGGATGTTGGGGAGTCAAGCCAAACTATGACGAATGTGATGACAGTGTGGAGACAGAATGCGTTGGGCCTGATTATTATAATTACATTTATGAAATTGCCCCAGGTATGATCATGGATCATAAAAATTATTTCTGAACTATCCATGGTATGATCATAAACATTTACAAACCCATAACTTTTGCTGCTAAATCCTGTATTTGAACCCCTTCTTACGTACGCCCCTCTCCCTCTAATATATACCTTCTCTTAAGCCCCCCCCCCCATTACCTCTCCTCCACCTTCACAAGAATGAGGTAATGAGAATAACCCAACCACCGAGATTTCTCAGTACCTACGTACAACCTCTTTGGAAAACCACTCAAAGTTACGAAAAATTTCAAAGATCTAGGAATAATTATGTCTAACAATCTGTCGCATCAGTCCCTCACCTTAGCCATATGACGACAAATAAGAAAGCTTTGTCATTTATATTGCAGTATATGCTGTTGTGCATGCTTGTGGGATGTTCACCAACTAACCTAAAGTGATTAGTTCATGTAAATTATATGCACTTGGCTTGATTATATACACACGTTACGTTGAGCTCATCTCACATAATCCCAAAATCATAGGAGATGGAAGTTTGCAATAAATTCTAGTGCAAGTTTACGATCGGTAACTCCGTATATCAACATAAATAAAAAGCTTGAATTGGGTTTAGAATGTAGTGAGTATGTCAATCTTACGTAGCAATTCAGCTAAAACTTGGAAAATCATTGAAATTTTTACACAATTTTATGTATGTAGGTCAGAACGATGCGCTGTCTGTTATAAACTCTTTAAACTTGACGAAAATTTTCTGTTTGAGAGAAAAAATATACTCATGATTGTCAGTCATGGGAAAAAAATTGTCTGAAATTTATTCTATATTTTATAATCTTCTTCCAATGTATATATTCATCAAAGTTCTCAAGATCCCCTATATTCTTTTTACATGAAGTAGTCAGTCACAGAAAAACGTTGAAAAAAAAATATTATAGCAAAAGGTTCACTAAGCAAGAAATCCAAGTCAGCGTTTTCCCAGCGTTTTCCCACTAATAAGTTGAATCAATAAGAATAAATTACGTTTCATTCAAAAGTACAAATAGAGACAATCCCATGCAAAAATTATTGAGACAACTAGCTAAGTCATTGTCCCCATCCCCCCACAAACAATGTTGGACAAACGATACAAAGGTGTATTGTCTGGTCAAATTTTTTTTTCAAGATTGAATAGGGGGGAGTAATCGCAGAAATAGAACGAAATATCAAAAGTCTCATTATTTTTGCACAAGATTGTAGCTAGTTAAGCGTACAGTCGGCTCTTTTAATCATAGGCGTTGTAATATAGTACTCCTTCGATGCATAAACACATGTCTAGCTTCTGTCTTACAAGTGCGCATGCTCCTAAGGCATGATGTAACTATTACGTCATTACATCCCTTTAAACCTTTAGTTTTTTGCATTCACTATAACTGTTTGTGATTAACTAATATCAACCTGAAAGTTCCTATAATGTCTTATTTTAAAGTTCATTTATGATGACTTCTTAGACAATTAAAGTTCATTATAAATGTTTTACTTATCTGACTGTTTATAGCCAAAGTAGGCTGGTGGTTTTGTTTTCCTTTTCGGGCGTTCATTGGTGTTCTGCTTGCTCGGCTGTTCTTCTTTATCTGCTGGGTTATCTGTTTCACCTTTCTTTTCTTTAAACTTTTTAAAATGTGACGAGTTCCGAGTGACTTGGCGATTGTCATTTGACGCTGTAATCATTGATCCTTTCTAACTTTCTTCTTAACAATTTGGTATTTCTGATGTTCATAAGGGGTCTGCAATTTACCTTTCTTTGAGTTTCTCAGCAGGACTGCATCACCGACTTTGAATTCAGAGGATTTGGCTTTGTTTCGTTCGTCAAAGTAGACCTTGTTCTTTTGTCTTGACTTACACGATGCATCAAGTGCTTGTTGATGGTTTGGGTCAGCTGGTGCTACAGTTTGTGACTGGGGTAACTTGACATTTATGGCACGATTGAATAGCAAGGTTGCAGGAGCCTGATGGGTTACACTATGGGGCGTAGCTCGGTAGTTTCTGAGGAAGGTAAACAAGTTTTGTTTCCAAGACCTGCCTTCAACTTTGGCAGTTCTAGCTGTTTTCTTTAATGTTCTCATAAATCGTTCGGCTTCTCCGTTTGCCTGAGGCCAATAGGGCGTTATACGCTGATGTTGGAAACCAAGATAATTAGCAAACTGTTTGAATTCTGTACTATTAAATGGGGCGCCATTGTCCGATTTAACTGTTCCGGGAATTCCGTGAGTAGCAAAGATTTTGTCAAGACAGGGAATAACAGTTGTATGGGCTACTGTTCTAATAATATCTACTTCGGGGTATCGTGAGTAGTCATCAATCAGTACAAGTAAGTACTCACCACTGGGAAACGGGCCGCAAAAATCAATTGATACACTTTCCCATGGATTCTTGCTAGCTTCAGGCATACGTAATGGTTCAATGTTGCTTGTGTTTGTTGTGACTTGGCAAGCTAAGCAGCAGCTAACCTTTTCTTCCACTTGTTTATCAATGGTCGGAAACCAGACCTTCTCACGTAAGAGTTGTTTTGTCCGTGATATGCCTTGATGGCCTCCGTGTGCGAGGTCTATCACATGGTTTTGAAGTTTACTTGGTATGACTATACGGGTACCACGTAGGAGGAGACTTTGATCACTGTTAACTGACAGTTCGTTTTGGATGTGAAAAAAACATTCTACCGACTTGCGATCAACACGAGGTTGGAGTTTCGCATTATGCCACTGTTTGGTTTGAATTGCTTGAATGACAACTTGAACTGTGGTATCAGCTTTTGTGGCTTCTTTGATTTCTTCCAGCGTAAGGGCCTTGGGAACAGCATGCATTGAAACGAAATTAACATATTCTTCA